TGTGCTTGCTCAGAGAACACCTCTATACTAGCACAATAAATCAGTCCATTTATATTTGTATATGCGTGTGTGTGCACATATTTTCTGTGTGTGCATCTATACACATGGTTGAGTTTGTGTCTGTGCACTGAGATGTGGGAGTGTGTGGATGTGGAATGTGTGGCTGTGTGTGCACTGACACTGTACAGACAGACACACACTGAGGAGAGCACAGGACTCTTTTGCTTTTCACTTGCTGTGTACTTTTGTTTTTAATCCTCACGTGAGGACATGCTTGTATTGATTTTAAAGAGAGAGGAAGGGAGAAGGAAAGAGGGAGAGAGAAACATCCTGTACTCACCCTGACCAGAGATCAGGGATTGAACCTGCAACCTGGATATGTGCTCCTACTGGGATTTGAAACCTCTGGTCAACTGAGCCATAACAGCCAGGAGGGTCACTTCCTGTGTACTTTTGAGTGAGGCACTTTCCCCTCTCAGTATCACCCCTAACTCCCCACCCCCAGTAAAATAAAACATTTTATTTAAGAATCCCTAGAATCCTCTCCAGCAATGGGAGTGCATTTAACAACTGGCCTAAAGCAGCTCTACCCCTTTCCAAAAGCATCTCACCTGAGCTCAAAGTAATAGAGGAGAACCGGGGGTGACCAGGAAGGAGCCATGCTCTGCCCTCTCCCCGAGGGGAAGTGAACATGATCTCTAATGTGAATCTATGGTGACATCCGATGAGATGGACCCTAGGAAATGAGACAACACCTGGGAGAACTGCTGCGGACCTTCCTGCTGCCCCCGCTCCCCAGGTCTGTGCCTGGTGGAAGACGGAGAGTGGGGGCTGCCTGTATGGCCAGGGGAATGACTAGTCCCCGCGTGGAAAGAGAAAACAAGGTTGACTGTTGAAGGAACTGATGGCCACCCAAGAAGCCACAGCAGACTCCTTCTCTCAGGGCAAGATGCCTGACAGGGCCTCTGTGACCCTGGCATTGGCCTTGGCCTCTAGGAGTCAGCTAAAGCTTACCCCTGGCCTGTAGCTAGGCCTATTTCACTGAGGGCACTGGGGTGGGAACAGGGAGTCTGGAGCTCAGTCACCTCCCTGGTGATAGGATCTCTGGAAACTCTGTCCCAAGTAATAAGGCTGTGGAGGCCAGATAGGGACAGTCTAGCCCAAGGGCCAGAGACTGGGCACACACCCCCACAAACACCAAACAGCCACACACCCAAAACACACACTTCCACCTTCCAACCCTAAATAAATATATACTCAATGCTATCCCTATACAAATGCCCACACACAGTACAACCCACAGGCATACAAGCTCACACAAAAACACAAAGCACCCCCAACCACCTACACAGCCTCTACACACCCACCTGCAGCCTCATCTCCCTGACCTCACTGAAAAAAAAAAGGGGGGGGAGTTTTCAAGACAAAAACAAAGACCTTTGGCCTCATAAAGAGCCAGGGATGCCAGGGATCAATACTGTTTAGACTCCGCTAGTGTGTATTTTCTCCTGGGCTGAGAAAGATTTAAGTTTATGGTTCAATTCAATCTTTAAAAAAAAGAAAAAAGTAGAAAATGAGGAAGTTGGGATATCACACTCCAGTATTTATTTCAATGCAACCCCAGACTTTAAATACACAGGCGGCTCACTAAGCCAGCCCCATAAATCAGAGCTATCAATGCCTGTTTATGGTTATTACTACTTTCTTTTTTAAGAGGGGGTACAAGAAAGAGGTCTGACCAGAGTCCTCCTCCCCACTCTTCCACCCCAATCAGAAAGAAGGAAAATGGGCTGGGGGAGCAAGAGAAGATGGGGATGTCATTCTGGATGATTGACTTCAGGGTCTTGGCCAGATTCCTGAGGTAAAGGCAGGAGTACCAAGTAGAAATAACACAGAGAAAGACAAAGCCACGGAGGAGGCAAGGACCGGAGGTTTAAGTCCTGAGAGCTTCCATTTCCTCCACTGAACCAGGAAGAAAATTCTCTTCACTCATAGTGATTGGAAGAGAAAAGGAGAAAATGCGGAAGAAATCAAAATACATAACAATCTCAATACTTGACTAATCTAATCATGGAAAGGGATCACCACCTCCTCTCCCTCAGGGCTAAAGGCAAGAGCTCTTGGCTTTGATCTCTCTCAGAAGAGGTGATGAGGGGCCGTAGGGAACAGATGCCTCCTAGAATTGCTGTTTATATTGTCCCTGCTCCAGCCCCGCGGTCTGGTGGCCTTGAGGAGCTTAGGCGCCCTCAGGGGCCACGCTGAGGAAGGAGAAGGTAGGGTAGCCCAGTTTACACACTAGCTGAGTCTACAGTAGGCACTCTGAACGGTAAGGTTCTCTGCGAAGCTGAGTACCTCCTCACATTGGATCTGGATGTGACTGGAAACTTCTTAATGTTCTGAACATGACCTCTAATGGGAACCTGGGAGTGCCCTGGGCCCCAGATCTCAGACCCTGTAACCGGAGGCCTGGAGAGAGAGAAAATTCCAGGCTCCGCCTCTCCCAAGGAAAATAAAGTAGGTACTTCCAGCCACCAGACAACCACTGGCCTGTGCCCACCCAGGAAAAGCCCGTCTCACTGCTCCCAACTCTTCACACAAGGGTTGGCTGAGCACCTATCATGTGCAGAGGTTACCCCACACACCCTCAGGGGTGAGAGCGACAGAAGGAAGAGATTAACTGCAATGAAGTTGGGAGCCTGTGGCAATGTCAGATCCCCTCTCCAGCTTCAGGCCACCAAACACCTAGCCCTCAAGCCTGGAACAGCAGCTTGGAGGGTCCCTAGGCTTCCTGGGCCTGGAGCCTGGCTCTGTCACTTCCCCAGACACAGGCTTTGATCAGGGGGAATTTCTAAAGAGGCAAAATGACTGGCCATTCTCATTTCTCTCAAAATCAGTCCTACCAAAACAACAGGAAAGAAACCCAAAGGAACTATACAGAAACAAAGTTCCTATGTGCTCACACACACACACACACACACACACACAAACATTCTGGTGTGAAACACAAGTGAGCACACACCGTAAGCTGCTCAGACACCCAAGTAATTACAGAGAAATCAACACCCAGGTGCACCATACAGGTGTAGAGGCCCACAAAACCAGGTAGGCACTCATGCACATGGTCACATATGCACACAGGTTTCCAGGAACACCTACATGTTTAGCCACACACATACAGGTACACACATACATATCGCAGAAGAAAGGGAAAGGGGGGGGCAGAATTTACTATTTTCAAAAATCCTGAACAAAAGGGAGATGATACCCCCTACAGAGAACCTTCTCCTTCCCACTCCTAGTCCCTGAATGCCAGGGTCCTGGTGCCCGCCCAGGAAGCCAGGAAGGATATGCCCCCAGGTCAGGGGCAAAAATCTAGGCACGTCCCTCTGGGAAGTCCAGATGTCTAGGGGTCTGGAAGCTTGTGTGTGAGCCCTCACCTTCAGGAAGCCAGCAGGACTTTGTTGGGAATTCTGAAAAAGCCGCCCTTCCACCACCCTCCTCGGGTTTGAGGTGAGATGAGATAGGCCTTGCCCACGTCCTTGATCGGGCCCTGTAACCCCAGCGGCAGGGCCCAGCGGCTGGCTGCCACTCCACATAGCTTTCCAGCATCCAGGCCTCTTCCTACCCGCTTTGCGGGACAGGAGGGCTGAGCCCTAGGAGGCTCCATGCGGCCTCGCCCCGCCGCAGGCGCCCAGGGAGTCTCTCCTCCAAACCGAGGGCGGCTAGTAAACCCCGGCTGCCGAGAGGCCGCGCGGGCGCCTCGCACGAGTGGGCCGCCCAGGACTGGAGGCAGCCCCTCGCCTCTGCCCTGCCCTGCCCCGAAAGGCAAGGCCTGATCATAGAGGAGAAAACCTCAAACCCTCCAGCAAACCCCGCGCCAGAACAGAAATCAAAAGGCAATGTGCTGGCTGGAGCTAGAAGCAGGTTGAACAGAAGGAGGCCGCCACGGGGGGATCCTGGCCCAGCGCAGAAGCAGCCCGATGGCCGGTGGACAGCCGGAGGGTGCTGCCGAAGCACAGCTTGGGATCTCCGGCCTTTGGGCTCCTTTGAACGCGATCGGAAGCCGGGGGGGTCCCGCCAGACCCTCCAGACCCGGGTCGGTCCCGGATCACCGCCCCCCCCCCCCCGCCGCTGCGTTCGTTGTGCGGGGGCGCCCTGGGTCGGCCCGCAGGGCGCGGGGAGCGGGTGGCCAGGCCCCGGCCCGCGCCCAGCCTTCCCCGACCGAAAAGAGGGGCCGCCGGCGCGCTGAGCACAGTGTACACTTTATTTCAGACTACAGGTTTCTGAACATAATAAAATCTTTGGCTTGTAGCGGCGGTTCAGTCTCGCAGTCTGTGGGGTCGTATTTCTCAACAACAAAGTCTCCGGAAAACGAAAGGGGGGCAGGACAGACAGAGCGACAGAAAGGGCTTGGAGGGCGGGGGGGAGAAAGGAGCAGACACGCGAGGGAGGGAGCACACTCTCACGCACACAAAGAAAAGTCCCAGAGAAACGAGGGCCAGCGATGCGGGGCGGGAGGCACCGGAGAAACGATAACATTCAAAAGAAAAAAAGGCAACGAAAACGAAACTGGGCCGGGGCAGCCAGGGGAGGGCGGAGGTGGGGGATAAAATAATAATTATTATAATAATTATGACAATAATAATAAAGGAGATTAATAAAAAGTCCAGCAAATAGAGATCGCTACACATCTTTTTCTTTTTCCTTACCTGAAATTAAATATATACAAGGTCGTAAGCGGTTTGGCTAGATAGAGCTTTTAAGGAGTTTGCAATTACGTCCCTTATACTGTTTATAGAGGATAGATCTTATTTTTCGATAGCACCTGTCCGAGTCTCTCTTCCTTTTTAAAAAACGTTGCATTCCAGCGTGACTCTCCGTTCTGGGGAGTCCCCTCTCGTTCCCCTGTGGCTCCCTCTTTCCTTTGCCCAGATCCTTCCTCCGGGGAGCGGGGCTGGTGAGGCGGCCTCGGCGGTGCCCGGGGGCCCCAGCCCTGGCGGCTACTCGCTCTCGTCTTTGTCCTGGACCGTGGTGGTGGAGTGGTTGTACAGTCCCTGCGCCATGAGGTGCAGCGCCAGGCCGTTCTTGATGCCGGTGGCTTTCTTGATCTTGGCGCGCTTGTTCTGGAACCAGATCTTGATCTGGGACTCGTTGAGGCTGAGCTCCTGGGCCAGGGTCTGCCGCCGCTGCTCCGTGATGTAGCGGTTCGCCTGGAACTCCGCCTTGAGTCTCTGCAGCTGCTCGGCGGTGAACGCCGTCCGAGGCCGCTTGTCCTCCTTCTCGTTCTTCTTCTTCTTCAGCTTTCTGGTGCGCGGACCTGCAGCGGCGGGACGGGCCGGTGGGGGTGGGGACAGAGGGCAGGAGGGAGGGGTGGGGGAGAGGGCAGAGGAAGCCGTGAGAATAACAGAGTGGAGCGGGGATCGCGCCCCGAGCTTCCTTCCGCAGCGATAGCGGAGGACCCTCCGCGCCCCCGGCTCCCTCCCTGTGGCGGCTAACCCCTGCATCCATTGGCGGGCTGCTGGGGTCGCCTGTTTCCGTTATCGGGGCCAGAAAGGCACGGAGGAAAATTGGCCGAGGTTGTCTGTGTAGCCCACACCCCAATTCAGAACCCGAGAGCCCTATGACAGGCTTAAATCACAGAATCCAAGATGGAGAGACATCTGGAGCCCCATCCTGCCCAGGCCAAAGTTGGAGGTCAGGGGCCTGCTGTCTTCACAGCCCTGAAATAAAAAAAGGTTCAAGGCTGGGGCAGTGGAGACACTGGGGCAGGACTGCCCTGGGGGCATTGTCAGTCTCTCGTTCTCCTCAAATAGCACAGCTACACAGGGCACCTCCAAGAAGACCCCACATGCTGTGGCTATTTCCCGAGAAAACAAGGGGATAGGCGAGGGCTGGGAGAGGCTTAAGTCATTTCCAAGCATTCAGGGTCTGCTCTGTCTACCTCTCCCTGTATCCACTTCCCCCTTGGCCTAAAGAAGGCCTGCACAGGAAGCCCACTCCCTTCTCTACAGAGGGAGACAGGGCCTCACCCAGGTGCAGGCCTTATGCCCATGGCCCTGGGCTCCCTGTGATGCCCCTTGGGTAGTGCCCATAGGAAAGAGAGAGCTCCCCAGCTGCAGGGGCTAGGTCTCTTTCTCTTTTGAACACGGAGGCTGCAATTTCAGGATTGAAGACTTCTGAATAACAAAAACACATCAGATCTGCTTTCTTTGCCCACCTATGTCCTTTGCAAGGAGACTACATCCTTCCTGCCCACCCCCTTACCATCTTTATGAGCAAAATAGGGGCAGAGGAACATAGAGGGGAGCAATCTCAACAAAAATGTGTGCTTTGCCCCTGAGATGGAGATGGAGGGAGGCCACTTTCCCGGAAGGTGACGGCTCCCTCCAAACCTGATCTGGGAAGAGGGCTGCGATGGACTCAGGCTGGAGAGAGAAGAGAGGCAGCCCGCAAAGTCTGCACCTCCGGCCTTCAGCCTCCATGCCCCAGTCTTCTGGCATCTGCCCCCTGGTCCCCGCCTTGGTTATGGGAGCTTACTGGGCCCAGCTACGTCCCTGACAGGCTTGTGAACCTCTAAAACTGCCTGGAAAGAAGGGTTTTCACCTGTGTCTCCAAACCTAGCGACAAAGGGATAAGCAGCAGCTGGCTCCTGGGCGGGCCAGTGCCAGAGTCACCAGCCACCCTGTGATAAAAGAGCCATGGCCTGGCCAACCAGAGACTCGAGTGGCTTACAGCTCATCTCCCTTAACTGTCTATGAAGGAGAAGGAGCCAGGACCCTGCCTCCTAGTCCCCTAGGAGGAAAAGGGGCTAAGAACAAAGAGGAGGCCCACTACCCAGTGGGGTGAGAGAGGAATGGGAGGCAGGCCAGGGAGGGAGAAAGACCTTGATGTAGATTAGCAGTTCTCTGAGCAGGCAGAGGTGGCCGGAAAATCTCCATATCCCCAGAAAGGCCCCACTGTGCTGTGCATCCAGGATGTTATGAGTGAAGTGGTGTGTGTGTGTGTGTGTGTGTGTGTGTGCGCGCCTGAGTGTGTGTGCAGAGGCACAGACACTTGTAATAAAATCTTAGCCCTTTGGCCAGCCCGAACTGTAGGGCCTGACAGCTCAATCACTCTATCCATCAGGCAAGTCAATCAAAGCAGCTTTTCGGAGGTTCAGGGAGCCCAACGTGTCAATAACCGGGCTGAGATGGCAGGGGCTGATAGCACGCATCGATCGGCGCTTGGCCAGCACTGGCCACTGCAGCGGGAGTAGAGCATTTGTGTAAGGCTATGGTTTGCCGCCGCCTGCCCGGCCCAGCCCGGGTGCCCCGAACCCCATCCCAGGCCAGAGCCCCTGCTGGCCACGCGGGCACTGCAGGCCAGAGAAGCCGGCTGGCCTTAGCCTCCTCTCCTGGGCCTACTGGCCACAGACTCCTCTCCTAGGACAGGTCTTGGCCTTGGATCCTCCAAGCTCAAGGTATATGAGGAAAGGAGGCCAAAGGAAAGTTTAAAAAAAAAAGGGGGGGGGGGACAGGGGACAAGGTTGACGGAAATCCTATGACTGGCAGTTGTGCTGAGCGGTTGGAAGGAGTTAAGCAAGGAGAAGGATGTGCAAGCCAGCGCGGAGAAGCTGTGGAGGCCGCTGAGTCCTCTGCCTGGCTTTCTGGCCTGAGCCCGACCTGTCCACTCCTCTCCCACTGTCTGTCCTCTCCTCTTCCACTGTCTGTCCAGCAGCTCCAGTGAACTAGGAGCCAGAGGCTCTCCTCTCGTACTGTTTAGTCAAAGGCCTTTCTTTCACCTGGCTTCTACCCACCCGGGTCAGACTCTCTTTCCTACCCGGCCTGGGGAAGAAGGATGGCGATCAGACCCTTTTCTCTTTTCCTTAAATCTGTTGTGTGTCCTTAAATCTGTCTCTATGCAAATGCGTGCTACACAGAAACTATCAAGATGGTGTCTGTGTCTGTAAGAGCGCTCAGGGGAAGATTATTCCTCTGGCTGGATTTCAGCCTCGGCAGAACCACGCTGACGGGGATTGCAGACCCCAATCATTAGGCCCACCTTCCCGCCGGCTCTAAATCCCTCTTTTCCTGGAAGAAAAATCAATGACTGTTTGTGTCTTTCCTGATAATAATAATAAAGGCAAAACACAAAGAAGACCCCAGAGGCTCGGAGTTCAAAAATCGAAGGATGGAGACTGGAGCTTCCAGTGCTGGAGTCTCCTGAGCGGTGGCCACAGAAGCTGGGAGCACAAAACAACCAGTGGGTGCACACTGGGTTGTGGCCGGCACCGGAGCTGAGAATCAGGCAGCAGGCGTGAGAGGAGAGAGCGCCCGAGGCCGGTGTGCTCTCCCCAGCGCCGCTGCTCAGCATTCCGGTGCATCCGCGGGGCTGGAGGGCAAGGCGCCGCCCGGGGCTGGGTACTCACCGGAGGACGGACGATCGGAGTAACGAGTGCAGTAGACCCAGGCGGGCCACACGAGAGGCTGCTGCGAGTCCGTTTTGACCACGGGCCCGCCATTGGCTGCGCCCATAAGCAGGATGGCCGGGTTGCCATGCTCCGGATACTTGGCACCCTGCGCCCCGGGGCTCCCCACGCCGCCGCCGCCGCCGCTGCCGCAGTCTGCAGGCTTGGCTGTTGCTGCCGCCGCCGCCGCCGCTGCCACGGCCGCTGCCGCCGCCGCCGCCGCCGCCGCGGCCGCCGGGTTCCCAGCTTTGGACGCACCCGCGCCTCCGGCAGCGCCTGGCGGGGAGCCGTCGGGTGGGCCACAGTTTGCGTCCGGTGAACAGAGGAGCGAGGCGGCGCCCGGCGCCCGCGTGCCCAGCGGGTGGACGGGGTCTCTACCTGAGCCGGTCTGGCCTCGGTCCCGCTCCGCCCGGCCTCCTCCTCCGGCGCCTCCTCCGGCAGCCGCCGCCGCCGCCAGGAGCTGCTGCTGCGGAGACTGCTCCTTCTTGCAGCCGAAGTCCGGCCTCAGGATGTTGTCGATGAAAAAGTTGGTGGTGCGGTGCAGCTGGGCCGCGGGCTGCGGCGGGGGAGCGGGCGCCACGAGATGCGGCGGCGGCGGCGGCGGCGGCGGCGGGGGGTGCGAGGGGAGGTGGGGGTGGTGGGCCAGGGGCGGCAGGCAGGGCGCCGCGGGCGGCGAGGGGGGCGCGGGCTGCGGGGACACCGGCACGCTGTCCCCATCGCTGCCGCCGCTGCTGCCGCTGGCGCCGGGGCTGAGGCTCAGGCTCAGGCCGCCCGGGGCCGCCGCCGCCACCGCCGCGCCGAGGCCCGCGTCGCGCTGACTCTTAGGCTCCGGCTGCTGCTCCTCCATGCTCGGCCGCCCCGCCGCCCCGGCCGCCGCGCCGGCCCCCGCCCCCCCGGCCTCGCTCCCCACCCCACTTTGCCAGCGGCCCGTGGGGGTGCGCGGAGGAAGGAGGCCCGAGAAACCTCGGCAAAGGCACAGGGCGGGTGCGAGGGGGGAAAAAAAGCCCAGGCTCCCGGCCCGGATCGCTCGCTCTTACCGAGCAGATGGATCGCGCTGTCTCTACCTCTCCCTAATTTGTAGACATCCAGATAGGGAGACACTTGGCTATTTCTTGTTTTCGTTCTGCAACCAGATTAAACGATTTGTTTTAGATGGGGAGTAAGCCACGGCCAAAAAAAGAAAGAAAGAAAAATAAAAAAGGCAAGAAAGGAAAAAATAAAAAAGCAAGAAAAAAAATTTAAAAAGTCCAAGATTTTTTTTTTCTTAAAGGGAAAAAAAATAGTCTTTAAAGTCTAGCCATCTTCCTAGGCAGGAGTGAGGGGTTTGACTTCCCCGAGTGTCACGCTCAGCTGTGCCCAGAGCGCGAGGCTGGCAGCGCTTTAATCGCCTTGGCTTTTTTTGCAGGGAGAGCGCGTCTCCGCCAGCGCCGGGCGGCCTTTTTTTTTTTTTTTTTTTTTTCTTCAAATCTCTGACAGCTCGGATCTTTGCACAAACTCTCTCGCTTAAAAAAAAAATCACCCAGGCACACTTTTTGCCTTCAAACCGGAAGCACGTGAGTCAGGGCCGCACGTGTGCGGGGCCAATGGCGAGCCGGAGCTCGCGCTGACACCGGGGCCTCGGCCCAATGGGCGCGCGGGGGGCTTTGCGGATAAATAATCCGGGGGCGGCGGCCGCGGGCGCCGAGGGGGCGACTGGGTGCGGGCCGGGCCTCCTCCGGCCAGCCCTCCCTGACCCACAGCCCAGCCCCTCCCTCTCATTCAGGCCAGGACCTCAGCAGGGGCAGAGGAGTCCCAGGAGAGAGAGATCCCGGGGTAGGCCAACAGAGAAGGAGCTCCGTAAACAACTTGTTGGAAAAATGCAGGGTTGTGATGGGTGTGTGCGGGCCGGGTGCTGTGTCAGGAGACTGGGGCCTCTGCCGTTTTGCACCCACAGGCTTCAGGAACTCGGCCTCATATTTCCTCGTTTCCTTCCTGATGTAATGAAGGGTGAAAGTTGTCATTGTCCGCGTGTGTAGTGAGAGGGAGGGGTAAAGGGAGGAGGGTCGGGGATGTGAAACAGACCTAGAGTTGGTTACTTTCAGAGAAGCGGTTTATTTTTCACAAACAGCAAACCCCTGGGGCCAGCTGCACCTCTCTAGAACCGTCTGCTTGTTGTAGGTTTGCAGTCCATGCCAGTCACTTGCACTGGGTGTCCTTTCCGGGGTGTCCACACCCATGCCCTTCCCTGTCTGGACCTTCAGTGAGCCCCAAGAGTTGTCCTGGCGCCATTCAGTCCGGCCCAGAGGGCGCGAGAGAGCCCCACGCGGCGGGCCAGCCCTGCTCCTTCCCTGGCGGCCACAGCCTCAGCCTTCCAGGCAGCACAGAGCTGTCCTTTCTGCCAGGCCGCTGGGCCAGGCGAGTCAGGGTGCGGGTGCGCCCAAGGCTCCGGCTTTTGGGTTCCAGTCAAGCTCCGTGTTAAATTTCCCTGACAAGTGAAGTCAGGCAAATAAAATACTGCACCCCGGGTACTGGCCCTCACCAGCTGACAACGTGGACAGCCAGGGCTCCCCAGTTGCCCAGATCTTCCTGAGGTCACTCCAGACTCCCCGAGGCCTCTGGCACCAGCCCCCTGTGCTTCTTTCTGGGGTTGCCGGGGCCCCAGCTCCTCCCGCTCCGGAAGATCTGCCTGCAGTCCGCTAGGCTCCTTTCTCTGTTCCCCATCGCCCCGGCTGCGGTGTAGAAGGGGGTGGGACCTTTCTGCTGAGGGGATTGGGAAAACGAGGGTCCGACTCTGTGATAATTCCTGCCCAGGAGGGTGGCGGCTAGAAAGGCTCTGGCACCGGATGCCTCAGCGGGGATGTTATCTTGGTTCTCCTGAGAACCTGGTGCCCTGACCCCCACCCTCCACTGGGATGGCGGAGAAAGTATATTGTTTAGGACAGTGCCTAGTGGGATCCTACAAAATAGCCCCTCTTGCTCAGAAGCCACAAGGGTTAGGAGGGAAATAAAAAGGGAATGCACAAGCAGCCAAACCAGCGCTATAGGAAGTGTACCAGGGCCTGGTGGGCCGGAGTCCGCACTGCTGCTGCCTTCGCTCAGCCGAGGGTCCTGGCAACCCTGTAACCCGGCTCTGGAGTTTGCAGACCTGCCCCGCGGCCCAGGAGCAGCAGCAAGAGCCAGCTCCGAGCCCTGTGCCGCTGAGCAGACTCGCCCCGCTCCACTCAACCCTCCCAGGCCGCCCCCTAACCCCACCGCGAGGTCCTCGGGTCCCCTTCAGTTCTTCGCAACAAGGGCTCCCCGAAAGCTCTCAGCACCCCCACCCTTTTCTCCCCGAAATGGGGTTGGAATTTTATTTATATTTAAGTTCCGCAAAATTGAAATCTTTATCCCGCAAGCGAGAGCGTGGGTACTTAATTAAATTCTAATTAGGACACTATCAATATCCTATTTAGCCGCGTAGCTTTTGTGCGCCGCGGTCCCTTTCAGCGCCGTAAATAGGGTCTCGACGCCTTATCTCGCCTGCAGGAGACGCCTCGAGAAGGGCTGCGGAAGATAATTTATAGGTTTTAATTACTCTTCATTCCGCCTGATCAGCTTGGCGTTCATCACAGGCCCGTGAATAAAACCCTGGTCAAAAGCTCTGTCACATCGCGCTGGCAAGACGCTTAATCAAAGTGAGCGGCCCCGCGCGCCGCGCCGCCCGGCTCCTCCGCGTAATTTCCAGCCAGCTGATAAAGCCAGCTGAATAATGCGGCGGCCCTTTGGAGACACCATTTACAGAAATGACTTTATTGACGGCTTAACGTCGGTAATTCATTTTACCTTTCATGTAGTGGAGCCCGGATTTGTTACAGTAATGGGATGATAAATGCACCCGCGGCCCGCGAGCTCGGGCTGGATTAGGAGGTGCGCAGCCCGCTGCTTGGTCCCCCCACCTCCCCCGGGCCAGGCCTGCGCGGGGTGCTCCTCCGCACCCACTGCTGCCCGCCCCCCACGACCCCCACCCGAGCCCACGCCCTCTCTGGGTCTGAGAATGAATAGACTCCTGGGAACTCGGTGTTCGCGGGTTGGTGTCCAGGCAAGCCTGAGTGAGGCGAGTGCTCAGAGTGCGTGAGCAGAGGTCGGTCAGCCATGAGGGGTGTGTGAGGGATCTGGATGAGCGGAGGGAGTCTGAGACTAGCCTGTCCTGAGGAAGTATCAGCAGGGCAGTTGTGTGTACAACTATGTGGGTAAAGGGACTGGTTGTGAGCGGAGCGATGTGTGTGCAATTTTTTTAGGGGTCCTGTTTCTGTCTTTGCAAATTAAGGAACTTCTTCCAATTTGATAGATGTCCAGGTGGGGGTAGCAGAGAGGTGGGCTGACAGGAAGCAGTGGGGTGATCTGCCAGTAGTGGAATGGAGCCCCTTTTTCTGAAAGCCCTCTGGTCTTGGGCCAAATGATGGGACTTTGGGGACACCCAGCACCCATGTCTTTTGCCTTGAAGTTTTGGGCTGTGCAGTTCCCCCCGGGCAAGAGGCCCTACAGACAGCGTTGACCTAGCCATGTCTCTGTAATGAATGGACTGTCCCCAAGTTCCACTTCCATAACCAGCCCACATAAAAGTGGAGAATGATAAAGAAGAAAACGATTTTGTTTTATTTTAAATGCCAAAGGGGGAGCAAAAAAACCCCACCCCCTATTATTTATTTCTTCATTGGAAGGCCCAAGGGGGCCCAAAGGGGCTTTCAGTAGGGGGGGGGTGTGGAGTAAGCAGGAAAAGAAGAACAAGTCTCTCGCATTCCCAGACTTCCTCCGTTCTCTGCGCCTAACCAGGGGCTTCCATGAGGAGGAGTTATTGGCCAACAGTCAGAAAGAGTGTGTGTGCTCTTTTGAGGGCACCCGAGAAGTTTGGGGATCATGTAGTAGGAAGACTGATGAATACTTCTCAAGGTGAAGGCTGAGAAATTGTACCTTTGTTTTGGTACAGTTCCCAACCTTGCAAACACCACTTACCAATTTCTAGAATGGCCTGCGGCAGTGAAGGGCCAGAGCCTGCATTTGTTTCTATTTGCTTTTTACATGAGAGAGAGGCGAGGGTCTGCAGAAGCAGTCTTTGTGTGTATGTGTGTGCACGGCAGAAGGCTGGTATATGTAGACATCAGTGTGTGCACCCGGGTCTGCCCCCTCAGCTGAGCAGAGTACTGTGTTTGCTAAGAGTTTGGTGTGTGCTGCTCGGGAAAGAGAAACCTGCTGCCAGCCTGCACGTCCACAGAATTTTGGATTTCGTTTGGGCAGAGACAAACGCTGGGCGCGCCGGCCCTGCCTGCTCCCACCCCTCTTTGGAGGATGGGTGCCAGGCGGAGCGCTGTGAGAAAGCCTCGCCACCTCTCCGGGTGTGTGCACGAAGGGCCGGGAGTGCGAGTGTGTGCCTGCACACGGTGGTAATCGCATTTCGAGTGTAGATCAGATGGCGCTGGGGCCTCGGTGATGCGGGACATGAATGAGTTGTCGCCACACAATAGCGCGCAGCCTTCCTGCGGGGACTGGGTGACCGGCGGTTTTGTTGGGAGTGAATGCGAGGAGATTTCTGCTACAAGCGCCCGGTATTATGATGAGGCGGAAGGTCAGACTATACATCGCAGGTCCCCGAAGCCTATAGACCTTGGGAGATGCGAGGCCTCGAGCCACGTCATTGTACCTGACAGTCCTTTCAATGGGCTAATTCAATTAGTGCGGGGGGCTTGGGTCTTCATTTGGAGGCCACAATAATGTGGGGGGCGGCTGGGTGCAGGGGGTTCGCTGAGGAGTGGTTAGGGAGCCTAAGCCGCTCTGCCTGAGCTTGGAGACCCGGGTGGTGGGGGAAGGGGGAAGCCGAGGTGGTGGTTGGGG